CCACCTTCGAAGGCGGCAATGGAGTATCGATCGCCGTGAAGAAACTCGAAACCCTCGGAAGAATCCGGAACCAGGACGAGTTCGAGCAGGAAATCGGCCGCCTCGGAAGCTTCCGAAACCCTAATTTGGTCCCCGTGCAGGGTTACTATTGGTCGTCGAGCATGCAGTCAAGTCTAATGGAATTTGTTCCGAATGGGAATTTGTACGATAATTCGCACGGACTAGGTTATCCGGGTACGAGCAAGGGTTACGGCAATCCGGAGTTGAATTGGTCTAGAAGGTTCCGGATAGCGCTCGGAATAGCACGGGGTTTAGCCTACTTACACCATGACTGTAAGCCTCAAGTTCTTCACCTCAATATGAAATCGACTAATATTCTACTCGACGAGAATTATTCGGGACAACTGTCGGATTTCGGGTTGAGGAAATTGCTTCCGAAAATCCATAATGCGGTTGGATACGTGGCGCCCGAGCTGGCGCAGAGTTCGAGGATTAGCGATAAATGCGACGTGTATAGTTTCGGGGTGGTTCTTATGGAGTTGGTTACGGGGAGGAAACCGGTGGAGGGCAGTTTTGGGAAACGAGGTGGTGATTTTGTGCGAGTATGTGAGGAGTTTGATAGAACGGGGTTCTTTTTCGGAGTGTTTCGACAGGAATTTGAGAGGTTTTGTGGAGAATGAAGTGGTGCAGGTGATGAAATTAGGGTTGATTTGTACGTCGGAGATTCCGTCGAGGCGGCCGAGTATGGCGGAGGTTGTTCAGGTTCTTGAGACTGTAAGAAATGGCTCTGAATAGTAATTTTAAGATTCTATTGGTTTAATTGATTAATTGTATTTGTTTGTAGTTGGCAATAATGTTTTGTGTTTTTCCCATTATTTGTAGCTTACAGAACATATTTTGTACCCCAATATCCAAAAAAAATTAAATGATTTTTTCAAGATTTAATGTTCAGTTTTCTGCATATGAGTTTATCAATTTGTATTTCTTCATCACATTCGACTGCGAGTCCATTTTGTCGAGCTCGTGGAGTATTTTTTGTTCTTTTGGCTCGAGCTTGAGCTCAAGCCTATTTTGACGAGCTGGAGCCCAAGCTCTTTTTTTTTTTTTTTTAATTATCAAAAATTATTTATATTATAATAAAATATTACAAAATAAATAATGAACTGTAATTATATTTTTTTTTTTAATTTTTATATGTTCTTTTTATATTATTATTATAACATTTTATATTATTATATATTATTTAAATAAAAAATAAATAAAAGGAAGGCTCGCGAACTGACTCGTGAGTTCACAAACTAAAAAAAACTCAAGCTCGAGTTTGAATTTGAGCTTTTTTCGAGTCGGCTCAACTCATTTTACCACCCCTACTTTCTGGGGGTGGCTACTGGAATGGGATTTCCAAAAATGCAAATTCCACCTATCCAAATATTTTCGAGTTTGGAACAATATTTTTCATTTCAAATTCTAAAAGTTCCAATTTCCGTTCCAATTTTAATTTAAAAAAAATCACATTTATAATATGAATATTATTATGTATTTTATATTACAGGTGACTAAATTTTGAAAATTCCGAATCTGATCGAAAAAATTCCGATCTTAAAACAAGTTCATCTTCCGTTTTCTTGGAACGGAATTGGAATTAGTTTTGTACTTCAAAACAAATCGAATGTTTTACAAAAGTGCTAACTCCAATCCGATCCGATGGATCCGATTTCCACGCCAAATCCTACTATTCGACAGAGAGTACAAAAAAACATCATATTAAGATCACAACATATAAACTCTGCACATAAAAGAATGAAGCAAATGTTTCTCTAATTTTGCATCAGAATCTACAATGTTCAACTTCTGACAAACAACAAATAATCGAATAACCTCAATCGAAAAATCACTCCACGCAGCCTTAGGCCAAACATACGTAAATATATAACTATATATAATCTCGACTTTTTTCAGCTTTCTACAAGAAAGAATCGAATAAAATAAACAAATTTCAACTAAGAAGAAGATTTACACGTTCCCAAAACTTTCTGAATACGTCTCATAACCAAAGGAATATCCTTTTCCGATAAAGTGCTGAAGCACAAACCGAACCATCCGGGCTCCACACACCGACAAGAAGATCCCGGAAGAACGTTAATCTTGACCATGGTCAACAGCTTCTCCCAAAGCTCGATCTCTCCCTTTTCACTGTACGGACTAATTAATCCGCTCATATCGGCCCAACAATAAAACCCTCCACCGCCACCTTTCATGCACTCGATTCCCAACTTCTTTAAGCCGTTCAAAAACTCGATATATATATTCCGAAGCCTTTCTCTGCAAAAATCGATACTTTGCCGAACAAAATTCTCGTCCGAGAGCATAGAGATTAGCAAATGCTGAGTTGGCACTGAGATAGACGAAAATCTTGATAATTTCTGCGCTGCGGATAGCACATTCTCGTTGTGTGTATAGATGAGCCCGGTCTTGAACCCGACAAGAGAAAGATCATCGGATAGACTGTAAACTATGTGAACTCGGTTTTTGTCGAATTCTTCCTGTTCGATTATTTCCGACATGCTTACGAATTCGTCTTGACTTTCTTGATTGGATTTAGATCCGACGTATAGTTCGTTGGAAATGATATGGATGTTTTTTTCTGCGGCGAAATCGAGGAGGCTGTAGAGTGTTTCGCGGTTGTGGAGAATGCCGACGGGGTTTGAGGGGTTCGATAAAATCACCCCTCGTACTTTGAGGCCGCGTTTCTTGGCTTGGTTGAAGGCTCGGTCGAGGGCGGTGATGCTTAAATTGAAGCCATCTGCACTTCGGCAAGGGACCGGTATTATTTCAACCCCCGTTCGCCATTTCACATCTGCATCAAGACTGTATTTTTTTTTTTTGTTTAATTTACTAGTTTATATCAGATTGCTAAAAAAACCCCGTGTTGTCGATATTAGCAAAAAAAAAAAAAACCCGTAAATGCATTTTTTTAAGGGGTAGTTTGCTAAGAAGAAAATTGCATTGTAAGGTTTTTTTTGCTAATATTAATAAATTAGGAGGCTTTTTTTTAGCAATTAGAGTGGATACCGGGGTAATGAATGCAATAATAAACACGAGACTACATTGTACCTAGGATAGAAATGAAGACTTACTCGGGACAATATGGTGACGGTACGAGAAAAGCATTTCCCGGATCTGACAATGAGAAAACAAGAATCTCGATTGCAGGTGTTGCACCGGTTGTTAGTACTATTTGTGCTGGATTGAAAAATAACGGTCTCTCTGTTACTTGAGACATGAAATTTGCCACAGCCTGCAGTTTCGATAAATAACTTAATACGTAATATATATATCATTTTGCTGTGATTTGATCAAATCGAGGATCGTGAAATGAGAAAAGAAAAATGGAAATGCAAAAGAAGAGGAAAATTGTTTAACGATCTTATTAAAACGTGTAAATTAATTTATGTGGCATTTTCCCTAGTTTCCGAAATATACGTATAATCGGTTGCATAGTCGAAATAGTGATCCGAAAAATACACCATTAAATCCAAGAAAGCAATTGGCAATTGATTTCCAAGCAATTTTAAATAACGAAAGGATTGTTAATTGCACATCATTTGTGACCGAAATTCTAATTCGTAATGTTTGTGAACACACAAATTCTTAATGTTCGAAAGTTCATACAATTATTGATACCAAAAAAAAAAAAACGAGCAACAGTACTCTGTCGAAGGCATGAAAATAGGCAATATCGAAGTTTATTAGTGTCGAAAGTATGAATGGACGAATAATTACCGTTTTCAAATCCATCAAACCATCGAACGGCTGATATGTGGCGGCCCGACTTACGCTCAATTCTCGGCCCGTAATCGATCCCGTTGCATGATCTGCAAGCCACTCTTGTACTAAATTCAGAGACAACTGCATACACAAAGAAAAACACAAATGAATATAGGATTATCCACAATTGTGCAATTCAAAATTGAAAACCAAAAAATATAACCCACCCTATTCTCAGCCAACCAAAGCTGAATAACACCATTCGGATTCTGGGTCGGGTCAAACGGGTCCTCCTCGACCCGTTTCATTCCCTCGTAGTACGGCCCGTCACTCTGTTTTAAAACCGCATTCGCTCTCGACGACACGTGCGCCGGGGCGCCGGCCCCCCTCGGAGAAATCAGTGACCTCGAATGCACTCTTTGTAGCCCAGAAGAAGAAGATGAATTTGCCGGCGAAAGGGTTTCCATCTCCGACGGCGGAGGAGGCTGGGTGCGGCGGCGGCTGCCGCCGCCGCCGCCGCCGCGGCTCTTGAAGTATAGCTGGAGGAAGTAGAAGAGGGCGCAGGGGATAACAGTGCCTAGGAAAAGCCCTCCGCGGCCTTGCACCACTCCTTGTAAAGGGACTATCACCCTCATCGCCGCCGCAGCTCCGCCGCCTCCGCCGCCAGTTGTGGTGGTGGTGGTGGTGGTGGTGGAGGTGGAGGGTTTTCTGGCCTTCCTCATGGCGACATAGTGATGGAAACCCCACCCACCGGCGCGGCCGCGACGGAGTGTACTATGCAAGATTATTATATATGTGTGTGTGTATATATATATATATATATATATATATATATATATATATATATATATATATATATTATATAGAATTAAATAAATCTGGATTTTTCATGAATTGAGTGAGGGAAGGAGAGAAGAAATGGTGGCTGATATTATTATGTTTTTTTTTCTATATATTGTGTCAGTGTTTTTGGATATATTATGTGTGAACAAATATACATACTATGTTTTGCAGAAAAAAACAATACACTTGAAAAAAGAAATTGGGAAATAGAGAGGAAGAAAAGAATAGTGAAAAGAGCCAAAATATTATGTATTGGAAATAGTCAAATATATTTGGTTGTTTAC